ATATTATTTAGTATTAAAAATAATAAAAATTGATATTAATTTTATTAAAAATGTTATATGTATAGTTTTATTTATTTATTTTTTTGGTACTAAACTTTGAGCATGTGAAAGCATATTAGGTTCCAACCAATTCGAAATTAACTCAAATTAAGCTTATAATTGATGAAATTCTTTCAACACATGTTTTTTCATTCATAAAACTTGAATTCAAAACATTATTTTAGAGGATTCGAAACTTTTTCCACTCATATCAATAGGTTATTGATATCATTTGATTTTTTTAATAATAATTAATAAATTTTATTTTTTTAATATTAATTAATGTAAAAAAATACAATTTTTCATCTTCATGTTTTGGTCCTAAAATATTGTTGTTAGTTGTTTGAAATTATAAAAGTTTGAACTTGATGATCTTGATCAAAGTTTCTATAGTAAGTACTAAGTAGATACAATATTTCAGCTAAATTTTTGCTGTAAACCTTAGTACATGTATTTCTAGTAAATTAATGAAAACTCGTTGTCAGAGCAAGCATAATGATCTGAACCTGCATGCAGCTAGATTTCTAAAGAAATAAAGAGCTGTTTTGTGATCGTTTTGACATTTGCATGCAACTAGCTAGATTTCTAAAGAAATAAAGAGCTGCGTTGTGACCGTTGTGACATTGTCCGTTAAGTGTTCCATACCGATACAGCCATATTAAAGGAGGAAAATGATGGCCCATGTATTGGCCAATTAATTTTCTGTTCATGTTTCTGGTAATGCAGGCATTTGTATGGAGAGACTCCTTATGTATGCGTCTGATCAGATTATTAATGAAAGTATGTAATTGCAAAAGCTAAAATTAATTAGTCAGAGTGGGTTTTATAAAGTTATCTGGCATGGCTTCCCACGTCGGCTAAGTTCAATATTTACTCATGTGGGTTGTCTTGTTCTATAAATTAAAGAAATTCAATGACCTTAAGTTAGCGTTGTTATGCACATTGATGATTTATTAAAATTCACCAACGCATATTACTAATTCAAGCTAGCGTTTTATCAAGATGATCTTCAATCTTCACCAATATAGAATACAACACTGCACTATTTTTATCCACATGTTGCAGGTTTTCCCGTTGCACGTTGGTGTTAATCTTCCTCGATCTAGCTAGTAGTGACTTTTAAGTACTTAAAAGTATTTAAAGAGTTAAAGAGAAGGCTCCTTTTTTTTCTTTTTTTCTTTTTTGTTAATAGGGATTGACTTAGAAAAAGGTCAATGCCAATAGTTTTTTAATGTGGATATGGGGTTACATCTAAGGACCTTACAATTTTTTTTCTCCCTCTCGAAAAATTGCATCTTCGTATTTTAAGACCTATAACTATCTTAGATAAGTTCACCTTGTTAGATCTTCCACTGGGCTCCATTTGCTGCTGATTTTTCTTCAGTTTGCCTTTCCCTCTTCGCACGAAGCTTCCTATCATAAAACTCTCAATATAGACTAATCAACCATTTTCATTACCTTTCGCTGCTTTCCTGTTACTTTCCCCTCATTTTACGGTAATACTCCTCTAGGGTCCACTAATTAATCATATTAATGATTTGTTTGGAAACTTGAATTTGATTAGAGTGTATTTCATGGTTTTAAAATTCGGTTCGGTCCGGTCCGATTGAATCGGTTCAACCAGACCCCAGCATAAAAAGGGGCCAGTTTCATACATTGACCCGTTTTAAAGGTTAACCCATTCAAACCTAGTTAACCCGTTCCACCCGCCAGTTGAACCTACCATCTCCTTTTTCAACCTTTTTTTTTTTTTTAATTTTTTGATGTGATTTACCTATTTTATCCTATCTTTTTAATGATATTACATAAAAAAAACCTTAACTTTACACTTAAATTAAATTAAAAACCCTAATAAACAGGGACTATTATGTAAAAACAACATGGGAAAAGCAAAATTAGAAAGCAGAACAGAAGCAAAAGTGCAGAACTGCAATCAGGCCATTGGCATCCATCTCCCTCATCCCTGCTCCATCTCCCTGAGTCCGTCGGCATCTCCACCGCCGAACAGAAGCAGCAAAGCACTTAATCTCCCTGCTCCACTTCCGTCGGCATCTCACTCACCAGTCCTCCATCGGCCTCATCTCCTTCGCTGAACTGAACATCAGCAACAGAGTATCCTAATCTCCGTGCATCTCCACCGACAGTTCAACAGCTCTCCTCCGTGGGCAGCATCTTGACAAAGCTCACAGCCTCATGCCTCTGTCACTCATCTTCCACTCCTTTACTGGCCAAAATAGAAGCAGCAAAGCATAATAGATCGTCCCTGATTTTGCTCACATCGCCACCACTCATCTTCCTCTCCTTCACCAAACCAAAAATAAGCAGTAAAGGAAACAGATCGTCCCAACAGAGGCAGTCCGTGACTCCATGACTCATTCTCTCCTCTTGGGCATTTGATTTAAGTTAATTTTGTAGTGATTATTTATTAAGAATAGAAAAAAAAAAATAACAATAAGATCTAATAAAAATATTAAAAAGACGATTTTTTTTAAATAATCAATTAAACCGATTGGTTGAATCAGTTAAACTAGTTGAACCAAACTCAGTGACCAAAACGGTTCAACTACCAGGCCGAGTCTTAAAACATTGGTGTATTTTAATTTGAAACTTTAAATTTAAATACATTGTTTATTTTTACTTCAATGTAATATATATACTTGAATTTGGTTCAAATACATATATTTGACACCATATATTTCGAAGTTAAATTGCATGTATTTCAAATACAATTTTTAACCCATAAATTTCAATTCTAAATTCTTATATTTCATCAAAATAAGATATATATCCTCAATGAAATCCCGAACCAAGTTTTGTCGATTGTAGTTGGGTAATCTATCTAGGGAATTAGAATATGTATATATATATTTGGTGTGTTTTCATGTATTATTTTTAAATTTTTTTTTAATTTTATTATTTTATTATTTTATAATTTTTATTAAATTCAAGAATTTTATTTCAAATACTTAAAATTAAGATTTTAAACTTTCCTATACCAATCTATTGTGTTCTTCTTTGTAAAGAGATTAATATTTTCTTTTTATCAGAATATATTTAGTTTTTAATTTTGAGAGACTTTAAACATTGTTCAAATATTTGAAAACAACAAATATATGCAACTCTCTTATTAATTAATGAAATAGAGATTCAATTTAAATAATGAATAGAATATAATTTAATTTAACATGAAATTCAATTTTAAATGCATAATATTATAGTATATCTAAACAATTTATTTTCAAATACATGTAATTCAAATTTATTTTTCTTTATCTAATCCAAAAAATATATTTTAAAATACATATTTTTTAAATACATATATTTAAAATATATAACTTAAATACAAAAACATGTTCCAAATACAACCTAAATTAATCCCAATAAAATTTTAATTCTCATAACCACAATTTTCAAATTTTTTATACTCAACAGCACCATAGCCATTGCATGCAAATCAAACTACAACAAATTATATAAGTTAAATCATTTAATGTAAGTTAGTCCCTTGGTATTAAAAATTATTTTTTAATTTAATAATTTATATTTTTACAATTTTATACAATTTAAATAGTAAAATAGAGAATTCTAACTATAAATTACAAGGATAATAAATAAAAAATATATATAAATTTAATAATTTATATTTTTACAATTTTATACAATTTAAATAGTAAAATAGAGAATTCTAACTATAAAATACAAGGATAATAAATAAATAAATATATATATATATAAATAGATTTTTTCAACTTGTATCCTTAACGTATAAGTTTAGGGTATATTTTTTATAATAAATTTATAAAAAAAATATAAAAATAAATATTAATTTTAGAATCAATACTATATAGATAAATTTAATTAAATAATTAATAAATTAAATATTATCTTTTATTTTTAAAATTTTTTTAAGACCCTTTTAATATGTGTCCTTGGAAAAACCCTATATAAAATTTCAAGTGCCAAACTCCAAAGGGCCAAGAAGGGGAAGAAAAATTCCCTGATTAACCACAACGGTTCACATTAGAGAGAATCAAAGTCACAAACATACAATAAATGCCATCCTCTGTTTCCAAACCAGTATTGAATGCTGCAGCTGGAGCGCCCACCCACTTTCCTTCTTGGCCCTCTAACCCTTTCCATTCCTCCTATATGGATTCTCCTCCTCCTCTCCCTCCCCTTCCCCCAAATGTCCACCCCCACCCCTTCTTCTCCCAACTACCTCAACAGTCTAGGTCTCGGTTACTCCATTGCTATCACCTTCTGCTTCCTCGTTCTTCTCTCCGCTATCATCCTCGCCTTTTACATCTGCTGCCGCTCCTCCTCTTCTTCCTCCTCCTCCTCCTCCTCCCTTCGCTCCCCCTCCCACAACCAATCCAACGGTATCATTCTTCCGAGGATTATTTTTGTTGCCGAAGATGACGACGAAGAAAACGTCGTCATCGGCCTCGACCAGGCCGTTATAAATTCGTACCCGAAATTTCAGTTTAGTAAAGATCAGACCGCTGCTGGTTCCACCGGAAGTAACGGCAACCCCACGTGCTCGATTTGTCTATGCGAGTACAGGGATTTAGAGATGCTGAGGATGATGCCCGAATGCGGACACTACTTTCACGTTTCGTGCATCGATGCGTGGTTGAAGCTTAATGGGTCTTGCCCCGTCTGTCGGAACTCACCGCTACCCACCCCGCTTTCCACTCCACTGTCGGAAGTCGTGCCCTTGTCACAGTACGCCATGGATCGGCGGAGGAGGTGAAATTTTCGTGGGGTTTCCAATCTGTAGGCGATTGTAAATTATTATTTTATTTTAACTCTTTCTTGGCTAGGTAGGAACAAAAATATGAACGAAGGCTGGATGGTGGGTTTTTTTTTTTTTCTTTTTTTCAATGTTTTAATTTTGGTTGTTTTGTTTAGAAAAAGTGAAAAGCTAGTGAATAACAAGATGCTATTTTTAGGGTTTTATATTGAGTAGGAATTGAATTATTATTCCCAAAATTTCTTCTCTTTATTTTTAATTTTTTTGCTTGATTTTATGAAATTCGTTAATTTATTAGAGAATTATGATTCTAAAAAAGATCAACTATTTTATAATTTAAAATAATTTGGATTATAAAACTAAAGACTCTTAGATACGAAGAGAAGAATACCTCTAATATTAAAACTTTTTCTTCTTTTTTAAGAATTAATATTTTACAATTTAAAACAATTTAAATTTTGAACATTTTTATTTTGAAAATATGATATATTGAATCTCATTTTTCCAATATTTTCAATTTCATAAGTAGTTGAAATTAATATAGTGCATCCGACAAACAGATCCAGCTGTATTTTTTTTATTCTCTGTTGTCTATAATACCTTGGTTTCTCATCATCAAGTGATGTTGAGTTCGCAGTTGGAATTTGAGTTAACATATGTGCAGACAAAAAGCTCCTGCTGTTTCGGTGCAAAACTTCATTAATTTTGACTCTTTTGTAGTTGTCTAAATTGATGATATCCTCACCCCAATATCCAAGTTAGATCCTCTTGATTCAAAATCCTTTGATGGCATAAAACTCCATCACCCACTTCCACTCTGCCCCCGGTTTTAAGTAGGATTGCTTAGAAGTTAGGACTTCATTAATATATCGTTACTTAAGTGGAGTACGAGTAGTAATTTTTTAAGCAAGCAGAAAACTTTTGACTCCTTAAATCCAGTGCATGCCTTTGGGTTATGCATTCACAGGAAGAAACAAAGAAAATGGAACGATAAGTAGTGTTTGGCACAATTTGTGCTTTTAGATCAAGAAAAGTATTCTTGCCAGCTGCATCAAACACACACTAAATCTGAGTTTTCTGCTTGAAGTTTTGTGATGGGGAGCTCAAAAGTCAGAACTCAACGAGAATATAAAATGGTCCCAATCTTAAAACTGGCAATCTGTTTTTCTATGGAAATGGATGGAAACATACATGCGAGTGTAAAATAAAAATAATAGAATAAGAATAAGCTAAAAATATACGTAGAGATTTATGAACTTAATACAAAACTACTTAATTTGTTTCAAAATATAAAGCTTTTGACTTTTTTATACCTTTTTTTAAGCATTATTTTTAATCATAATATATAAATAATGATTGAAATTTTTTTGATTAAATGAGGCCAAACCTTCAATTTGCAACTTACCTATTATTTTTTGCATAATTAACACCCTTAGAAATTTTTATTTTTGATCAACACTTTTCATAATTTAAAACTAATAAAAAACTAAAAATTTAACGATTAAACCCTTTATTTACACCTTGATTTTGTTGATCATTTGAGATTTTTTAATAAATTTTAAATTATGAAAGGTATTGATCAAGAGCGAAATTATAGAAGGTGTTAATTACAAATAATAATAATAATAATAGTATGTAAGGTTCAAATAGAATGTTT